CCACAGAGGGTGTCTGAGAGCCATATGGCATTTGAATAAAGGCTTTTTTTAAAAAGCAAAAAGCAAAAAATAAATTTCTTTATCAGTTAATTGCAGTTAATGAAAAACAAATTTGTCATATGCATTAACAATGCATTTCTTTTGAAGGAGAAGAAAGATGGAGGGGTAAGTACTTTAAATATGAATCTCTCCACCTCCAGAACAATTCTAAATGTTGAAGCGAATATTTTTTGAGGAGATATTGTTGTTTCTGGTATTCATGTTTCAACCCATGGAGACTATACATTTCAGACCTCCTCCTGGGCCAGATTACACTATGGAGCTGCTCTGATAATGTTCCAGGAAAAGTTGATGCTGACTTTATACTTCTGTGTTCCCAGCTGTTATTTACTTTTCTTGGCTCAAGCACCCCTAGATTAGCATTCAGAGGCTGCTCTCAAGCCCCAATTTCACAGTTATTCTAAAACGCAAATCCTAGACATATCCCAAACCTATGTCGTTATCTAGGTCCTGGGTGGGAGAAGCTGATTTCAGAAAGATAGAAAATGAACATCTCCTACAAGGTAGTCAGTTCATTCATAAGTAACTGATAATGATTGTATTGAGAATAATAATAATAATAATAATCCTTGCATTTGATATAGCGCTTTTCACGTAGGGAGGATGTCCCAAAGCGCTTCACAGAACACACTGCAAAGTGAATTGACTGTATATTTGTGGGCGAACGCGGCAGACAATTGCGCACAGCAATGTCCCACAAATAGTTGTAGATTGAAAATGACCAATTTATTATTGTTTTTGGTTTTGGAGGGATTATTATTAGGCGTGTGGAGTAAGGAAACTTGCCCAAGGTTTCGCCCTGCCTGGAATTGAACTCACTTGCAAAGCGAGTGCTCTAACCACTGAGCTACAGGACTCCACAATACTCCTGTTTGTATATTCACTTTTTCCATCCTGTCCGATGTTAACTGATAGCTGTACTCATTTTAGGTCAACTCCAATTTGTTTTTAAATGTTCAGGAGCTAGCTTGCAGCACTTCACATGACTGCACTGGGGAAAAGTGTTGCACAAGGATGTGGGAAAAGTGTTGGTAGGGAACGTTTTTTAAAAAAATCCCCATTGCAAGCCTGTGTAGTGTATCATACTTAAAACTCAGATTCAAACATTTCAATGAGCAACACTACAATGTACCAAACCTGTGTTTATTTTGATTTTTTAATCAGAGAAATATTTTTGTTCAGAGGTCCACCAGCAATATTCCAGCAAGGATCAGTCTTATTTTTTAGCTATTTTTATAATTTGACTATTATTTACTTTAGGAAGCATCAAGACAGTAGAGCATGTTTAGAGTTGCAAAGAGCAAATTCAAGACAGATACCAGGAATTTTTTAAAGGATTAATGACTGGAAGGGGTTGTCAGGAAGGTGATCAAGGCTGGGACTAGTTTAAAAAACATCTAGGTGCTATGATGGGAAGACAATAAGGTGGGTATTCTGGAAGGATGAGATAAAATAGGCTGAAGGGAACTTCTTAATTGAAACCAATCTTGTGAACACAAATTATCCCTAAAGTCACCCATTCTGACAGGAGATAGTATTAAATCACCTTCTCCAATCTCCCACAGCATTGTTCCTATCTGTGCCTCTTCCAGTAATCACAGAAAGGATTCATCCCTTGGAAACTAAGAATTTCTTAACCTATGAATTAAGCTTCAGTATTACAAGAAGTTCTCCTTATAGTGTTCTTAATAATCATTCACATGTTATAATCATATAATCATATCTGCACTTATTCTTAAATTCTCAATACATGTTGTCCTATTGATTATTGCACTAATTATTTTAACTCAACCTGCACCATCACATTATTCTCCCTCTTACATAGCCAGAAATCAAAGTAAAACATTGCAGCAAAAAGATTAATGATTCAATTTTTAACCTCAATATTTCTGTAGTTTATATTTGTTTATTCTAATAATAATCCTTGAATCCAGCGCCTTGGGACGTCCTCCCGACGTGAAAGGCGCTCTATAAATGGAATCTTGTTGTTGTTGTTGTTGTTGTTGTTGAATTTAATGTAGTGCTTTTCACGTCTTCTAGACGTCTCAAAGCACTTCGGAGAATATACTGTAAACTGAATTGATTGCATTTTTGTAGGCAAAACACGGCAGCCAATTGCACACAGCAGTGTCCCACAAACAGTCATGGATTGAAGTGACCAAATTATTATTGTTTATTTCTTGAGGGATTATTATTCGGCGTGTGGAGTAAGGAAACTTGCCCAAGGTGTCGCCCTGCCGGGAATCGAACCCAGGTGTCTCGCTTGTGAGGCGAGTGGAGCTATAGGACTCCACTCTCTCTCAAGAGTGAATGTTGTGCATTTGACAACAGATTCAATATGATACTTATCACATCAAATCAGTTATGATTGATCTGTCTAGTTTCATTACCTTTGTGTTTGGTATCTAACTAGTCACACACCTTCCTTTAATCTGATTCTTGAGCTTGAACTTTCCTGAAGTGAATTCCAGCCTGTCTCACTTTCCTTACTTGTTTCCACTTGGTTTTTGCTGGTCTAGTGATTATATACCCTACTCCTCCGATTCCAGTTTATTTTGGGCTGATACAAGCCACAAAATAACCGCCAAAAATTACCAAGTTAATTTTTCAAATCCTTTCTTCTTTGATTTTTCAAATTCATATTTCTTAAATCCTTTTTGGAGTCCTGTAGCTCAGTGGTCAGAGCACTCGCCTCGCAAGCGAGAGACCTGGGTTCTGTTCCCGGCAGGGTGAAATGTTGGGCAAGTTTCCTTACTCCACACGCCTCTGTTTACCTAGCAGTAAGTAGGAACCCGGTTGTTAGTCGATTGGCGGATCGCTTTTCAGGGGCTAATAATTCATTCAAAAAATAATAATGATAAATTGGTTACTTCAATCCACGACTGTTTGTGGGACACTGCTGTGCGCAATTGGCTGCCGCGTTTCGCCCACAAAATATACAGTCAATTCACTTTACAGTATATTCTGTTAAGCGTTTTGAGACATCTCAAAAACATGATTAAACGCAAGGATTATTATTAGGGAGGTGACCATAAGCCCCGTCAAATAGGAAGGTTTTCAGGTGGGACTTAAGAAAGGAAAGAGAGGGGGCAAGGCAGAGGGATTGAGGAAGATTGTTCCAGAGTTTCAGGGCATAGTGGCTGAATGTGTGACCTCCAATGGTGGAGCGTATTCAATTAATCTATTCAATTAAAGTTTCCAATAAACAGAATTAATGAAACTGTTCCACTAAAAAGTTGTTGGCATGATTGTAATAACAGCAAACACTTCACTTGGCAACTAAAATGTTTTAGTGGATAACTGTAAAGTTAATGAGTGAGGAGTTCATTCAGCTTGACGTTAACGTGCAGCTGGTCGAGAGACTGAACTCAAACCTACCCAGGAATCATAATATTTTTGTTCTATATTCTTTATTCAAAGAATCACAGAAGGTTTACAGCACAGGAAGAGGCCATTTGGCTCATCCTGTCAGTGCTGGTGCTGGTCCCACCACTGGAGCTCTCTTCTTTAATCTCATTCCCCTACTCTCACCCATTACATTATTATTTGCCCTCAAGTATTTACCCAATTCCATTTTTTAAATTTAAAATGAAATCAACTCATTGTCAAACAGAGCACTTTTAGTTTAAATAGGTATGTACGCTGAAATGCTCCTTAATCATTTAGATAATAATAATAATCCTTGCATTTTTATATAGCGCCTTATCACGTCTTCAAGGTGTCTCAGAGTGCTTCACAGCATTTTCTGTAAAATGAATTGATTGTATATTTTGTGGGCGAAACCTGGCAGCCAAGGAACACAGCAATGAATGCTGTGATATTGATGTCGAAGACGTGATAAGGCACAATATCAAATGCAAGGATTATTATTATTATTCTGCAAAATTAGTGCCATTTTTTGAAGCATTATGCAGGAGGACATCAAGTTCCAAGCAGGAGCACAGTGGGGAAGTAATTTCTTTGAATTATAGGATCAACAACCAGTAAATCAAATTATCCAGTAAACACTTCTTCTGAATGATCGTCTGCTAAAGGAGACATCTCTTAAAGGATGTATTTTGATACATTTTTTTTCTCTCTCTCTCTCTCTCTCTCTCTACCCCCCCATTTCCTCTTGGTTGATTGTACACACCCTGATTTCAGCAGGTGGTTGAGGCGGAAGGACCTCGAGTAGGAAAGAGAAGCGAGTGCATCGGTAGGAAGATTAATGAGAAAAAGGAGAAACAGAGAAGTTAAGTGATGAATTACTGGAGTTTTGAACAGAGATGTTAGCCCTTACATATGGAGCGCCTTTTATTAATGCATGTGCAACACTGTCACTCTTTATTTACTTCAAAATGTTCACAATGATCTGTATGAATAAAATGTTAAGTAAACACCAAGGAATATATATATTGATTGGTTGTAATAAATTGACAAAATTCTCATCTAATTTTAAATGAAGCCTTGAAAATTGCGTCATTATTTCTTTCCTGTATCAATATGATAACTATTGAAATGACTATTAGGGCGCTAATTATGCAGATCAATAATTTTACAAAGTACAGACTTAAGTACAACAAACTATATATATATATCCGCACATTATCTCTTTTATTTTCTCACAAGGTTTATACTTAATCACAATCAACAGATATGTTTCAAAAACGTGAAATGCATACGTTTATTTCAACTATGATTGCACACGGCCTGCGGTTGAAGGGAGATAAATTAAAAACAAATTCTAAATAATATCTCAGGGTATGGTATATAGTTTGGAATATGACATGTGAATGTGACTGCCAGGATGGTGGAAGGCTAACTGGATGAAACCTGGTCTTCTTTCGTCTAGCAATCCTTATGGTCTTATGGTGTCAATCACTGTGTTTCGGTTTTGTGTATAGCATGCACAGTTTCTAAACTTGCTGGAGGCAACAAGTGAAGCATTAATCTTATCTTACCTTGGACACTCTGTTGGCGACTTCCCTGCCGACAGTCAGACCTTGCACAAAGGTTCGAGCCGCAATAAAAGCCCTGGTCACCTGCATCTTCAGCTTCCTAGGCACATCACCAAATGGCTTGAGCTGGTCAGTGTACTTGCTGATGCATTCGAGATAGTCCTCTGTGAAATGGTACTGTGGATTGACCAACTGGAACATCCGCTCCAGCAGACGGGCCCAGAAATCATTCAGCATCTCCTCGAGGTTCACATTGCCGCCTGTGTAATATCGCTTCAGCTCTGTGAAGAGGTCCTGGAACACCTCAGAATTCTGCATATACAATCGGCCATATGTCCGCACAAACATATCGTTCAATGATATCTCTGAATTTTTTAAGAGTTCCCTGAAGAATTCTGTAACAAAATAAAAAGCACATTTTAGGGAAGTACGTGAAAGACAAGAATATTTTCAATTCAAGTTACAATAGTAAAGCTTTTAGTAATTTACATATAGTAATAGACTGCACAAGACTTTGAACAATTCCAATATCTGTTCTTCCTATGTGGGAGACTATTTAAGAAAACATTGTAAAGAAAAATAAAGCTATTATAACAAACACAAGGTAGTCCAATCAGTACTTCAAACAAATTATAGCTAATATTTTGAGTGTAATTTTTCATCACGAATACAACACTTGAGCTTTAGAAGCTCCTGTCTAGTAAGTAATGAGAGCAAGTTGGACCAAACCAAAATATTAGAAAGTCAACATTTCAAATCTATCAACTTGTGGATATATACAAATATGCAGCTATTGAGTCTTCAATGCACTAATGTTTCAATGTTTTGCAGAAGGGTCACTTTAGCTGCACATTGCCATCAGGATCACACAGAAGAATGGAAGTTACTGGTAAGAACCCAGACACTGACACTGCTGACTTCTGCCAGTAGAGCTCCATCTTCTTGAAATGTCTTGCAACCTCACTTCATCTTCCTAACTCTTTCCCTACTTTTAAACCTCCGAAACTTCTCTTCGGTCATAGCTTTGGTCACCTCTAAATTGGCTGAAGTGCTTCAATAACTGTACATGCTAATTGGAAGGACCTGCATGGAATAGTTTGTCTGGTATTCAGCAGGATGTACCCATAGACAAAGCAAAGTCAGAAATAAGAATAAAACTTGTGTGGTTGTGAGAACACAAAGTTTTGGAATCTGCACTGGACTAACAGTAGGGAAACCACAGATTTTCTAAACACCAATTCATGTTCCTGAAACAAGAACCAAGTGAAGATTGAAGCTATATTTTCTCCTACTGGAGTCCTGTAGCTCAATGGTTAGAGCGCTCACTTCGCAAGCAAGAGACCTAGGTTCGATTCGCGTCAGGGTGAAATGTTGGGCAAGTTTCCTTACTCCACACGCATCTGTTTACCTAGCAGTAAGTAGGAACCCGGTTGTTAGTCGATTGGTGGATCGCTTTTCTGGGGATAATAATCCCTCAATAAAATAATAATTTGGTCACTCAATCCATGACTGTTTGTGGGACATTGTTGTGCGCAATTGGCTGCCGCGTTTCGCCCACAAATATACAGTCAATTCACTTTACAGCATATTCTGTAAAGTGCTTTGAGACATCTGGCAGACACGAAAAGCGCTATATCAAATGCAAGGATTATTATTAGTAGTAGTATTATTACTGCATGCAAAGGGCAGCCATCCAGGAAACAAAACAGGAGAGGTTCTCTTTGGAAGTGATCAACCATAATGGTAAATCTCAGTGCGTTGGACTGGAGCTTCTCAACACTGGCAATAAACCACATTAGAGGAATTACTGATTCCTCAGCAGCAAAGAATACATTGATAATACCCACCACCTATTGATGAAAACAAGACAAAATCATGTTTTCCGTAAGCACATGAAGAAGAGGATTTCTCACCATGCACTGCTTGCAATTTCATAATTCATCTAATCTGCACAGAAGATCAGCGTTTCAATGAAGTCAGCATACCACACTTGACTGAAAACTCTAGAAATAGTGAATGTTGCTCTAATCATGCATGGCATTGTCAGAATCACTTCAAGAAATAGATCCTGTGCATAGTTGGGAAATAAGGGTGTTAAGGGGAATGGCAAATTCAGCAGGGAAGAGGGATTAAAAATCTGCTATGATTTAATAAATTAATACAGCATGCTCAATGGGTTGAAACATCCTCTTCAAAGAGGAGGTAAATATTTTTTCCTCTGTAACATCTAGCTCTGGTTCATTGGGTGACCATTGATTCAGTAAAACACTGCACCATTAGATGGTGCATTTCAGTCTGAGTCAAAAAAAATTGTGGATGTTTTAATAGGTAGTTGTAATCCCCACCTAGATTTGTCATACAATCTTCATCATATAATCATATCTACTTGGAATTAAAATATTTGGAAATAAGACAATTATGCCATAAGCTATGCTGTGATTCCGCTGAAAGATGCTGGGGATAGAGACAGCTCATTTTCTACCTTGTCCAGCAATGATTTTTTGTATGCCAAACTGTCAAAGCTACCACAGTAGTGAAAGATGACAGGTTGATTTGAAGGCCTCAAATGCTTTCAAAATGTAACCTCAATTTACAATTCACATTCATGCATTGCCAGTTTAGAGATAAGATGGAGTTCTCTCACTATATGTTGACAGTGTAGATTTGAAGCTCCCTCACCTATAGCTGAATAGCTTTCTCATGAATAAGGGAGTCATATTTATATTGTGTTAACTAATTAAGAGCAGTTCCCACTGAAAAATTAACAGATTTGGCAAAGATTATTAATATTAAACTATTAGAATATGTCATAAGAGCACTGAGAGAACGAGCTGTACTACGGTTGTACGTCTGTCAAAATAAAACAGTCACTACATGACACCAATCGACTTAAGTCAAACATAATAAGGTGTGCTAAGGTGCAATAAAAATGTTAATTCTTCCTTACAATCTTTTATAGACCAATTATAATATTACTGAGAAGAGCATTATTTTCTCTGTTCTTTCAACATGCTTTGAATTGTAAGGTAGTGTGAACATACCATGGCTTTTAAAGATGTAGAGAAGTCTTTAAACAGGTGCATGGAAATAATGTAGTTTAACCCTTCTAATAAGCTCCAAACTTGAATATAATAATAATCCTTTTTATTTGATATAGCGCCTTATAATGTCTTCGAGACGTCTCAAAGCGCTTCACAGAACATACTGTAAAGTGAATTGACTGTATATTTTCTGGGTGAAACGCGGCAGCCAATTGCGCACAGCAGTGTCCCACAAACAGTCATGGATTGAAGTGACCAATTCATTTTTTTTGAGGGAATTATTACCCCCGGAAAAGTGATAATAATGTTAATCGATTAACAATCAGGTTCCAGCTTACTGCTAGGTAAACAGAAGCTGTGGAGTAAGGAAACTTGCCGAACATTTTGCCCTGCAGGGAATTGAACCCAGGTCTCTCACTTGCGAGGTGAGTGAGTGCTCTAACCACTGAGCTACAGGACTCCACAGAACCATGAGCCAATTAAATCACGAGGTGTTGAATGACCACTTTAGACAGCTGCATTCTCTAAATCCAAGGCAAAACATTTCAGACACTACAGAACAACCACAGTAAAACTTTCCAGCGAATTAATTTGCTCTTGACCAAAATTATTTCCATCAGGGATTCTGGCTTTCCACTGCAACTGTAATACACCATCGATTCATTGATTTACTGAGCTCAAACAATTTGTACTGTAGGTCTTGCTCCTAATATGTAATGCTGATTAATCTAACCTCACAATTCCTCAATTTCTATTCTGCTGCAATTCACTCCCTTTTTAATTAGTATTTTACTTTGGCTGCTGAATAAAACCATTTCCAACTATTGCTGCTATTTATTCCACTGGCTTGCTGATGATATAGATCCCAAGGAAATTACCTAAGTAATGGTAGCGGAGTCAAGTAAAAATAATGGATCAAAGTCATCAGATAGTCAGTCACATGTATAGGCTGCTATCATAATTTTTGTATTGGACAATTAAGAGAAAGAAAATGCATGCAAGGGTCCCATATATCATTTAAGAAAAAAAAGGCAAACACCACGATTTCAAAATGTAAATCCAGGATCATTCAATATTCAGTCAGATTTTTATTATAATAGTAACATGACTGAACTTTACACTGAAAGAAGGTTCAGACAAATGCATCTGACATGGGAGCAGTGAGTGGAATGATCTTTGAGATAACCTTGGTAGGTTGTTGCGTGCATTGCACTGGTGATATTTCTAACCTGGGGAATTTCACAGTTAACCTGGAGACTTTCTGTTCTATAGTCTGTGGAATGAATCTTAAGTGAAATTTATTTCACGGCAAATATGTTTTGTGCTGTATTCCGGAAACTACACACAACCGTGGCTTTTCTCTCTCACTCGCACTTGCAATGTGTGCCACTGATGAAGCAGAATATAGTATAATGCAGTATTGTGGCTGATCTGGTGATATATGTGTTACAATACACTATGCAGTGCTTTGTTATTAATTAATTAAAATCTCCCCTCTTTTGTCCTCTTTCGGGGATTTGACTTCACCATTCATCAAGTGAAAACATTCCCTCTCCAATAGTAGGGCTTATGAAATTCCAGTGAGAAAGTTTAATGACACTGTTGACATTAATGTAAGTTAGTTGAATTTATAATTGTTTGGCAACTCAATGTACTATTCCACAGTGACTCAAAGCAGTATAAAACACTGCATCTCAAACTGGATAGAACATTAACTTCCAACATTAGACTGAAGAATGAAATTCAACCCCTGGTCTCCTATGAGTTCTGCTACGTATCATTGCATTAAGTTGTAATGCCCAATTTGGTGCTCTACCGTTAAACTGCTACCTGCAAACATGAAGTATTGACTTGAAACAAAGTAAAATTGTGCCAGATTGCTGACAGACATTTAACTGAAAAGCACAGTGCAACACTGTGTGGTGTTGTAGACATTTCATCTTTTGTTAACCACCCTAAAACTACTGCTGTTTGACTTATTGGTTGGTAAGAGATGATCAATGATGCAGAATTCAAGGACATTCCAGATCACTGCTGCTAAAATATACACCTCCATTATCAGCTCTTAGGTAGCAACTCAACCATTTGAGATGGATCAAGTGGGTGCTTTGGAATAGCTGATAACATTTCCTCCACCCTGCCAGCATAGCAGTGCTTGCCGGAACAACATGCCTGAGATTGAAGAGTTAGCATATGATAAGGGAGATTGAAGGCCCACCATTCTGTGGTCTTGCATCTTGTCTGATTTTTTAACTCAAAGCTGACAATATTGCAACTGCTCACTTGGTAAAAACAGCCCGGGATGCACCAGGTCCATAAATAAAATAGTTGACCTCAGGCAGAGGCAATGTTACAGAGGTCAGGTGAAGTCAGATAAGGCTTGGCTTTGATGTCCCCCACAGCTGCATAGTTTGTGGAGTTTAACTTGCTGGGTTGCTACATGATGAAAGATATTTCCTTGGGATGAGTGTAGGAGAGGGTCCAACACCTGCGTGGAGTGGAATGAAACCCCAGTCTGCACAACATTAAGGAGAGAAACTGGAGAGTGGAAAAAGAGAATAAACTTAGTCATGAAATATTATTAAGTAGGAGAATTGCTCCAATGGGTCAAGGGTAGAATATATAATTTCAGTCAACAGACGCACATTTTTCTTGGTCTGGAAATTTACCGAAATCTTTCCCGCTGAGGAAAGTGTCTCATTAGATGGTTACAATAGATAGGTTGTTGTAACAGATGGTCTTTTCGGCAGATTTCACTGTGCTTTTTGTTAGAAAAATCTCCTTGATTGGTATTCCACGCTTCTGTGGAGCAAGAGCAGAAAAAAGCAACCTTCCTAATTAAAGAATTGAATGAGTTTAGAGATACTGCAATTATGACTGAACTGATTGTGAGGGTGGAAAGGTTAGTGGGCTTTTCACACAGGCAATTACGTGCTAGACTTTTCGATACAAAGCCAATATGTCAGCTCCAACTCCATGATATATCAACTGAGTCATTAGCCCATAAAATTCCTCATCCTTCTGTTTGCCTTACTCACTGGATACTTTTCTGCCAAATTCTTTGGATAAAGGAATAAGGATCAAGTGCTACTAGATTATATAATACATAGTACTTCAAGTTAGAAATCAAGGAACACACTAATCTGAACTAGCCCAGAAACTAGAAGCAAATATTGGACAAGTCTTAGGCAGGTCCAGATTTTCTTGTAGGTCCAGAAGAACAAGGTATGTACCCAAATAACTTCTAAAGGAAATTCATAACATTCAAAAAAAACCTGGACAATTTAACAAAAATGGCCTACATAATGGCAGGTGAGTTTGAGTCATTTATTTAAAAAAAAACCTAGAACATTACATAGATATAAGTGCAGCTGACAACTTGTTCAATTGTTTTTAAACAGGTATCAGTCTGGCTGGGTTGATAGCACACCCCCTACAAGTCAGAAGTTCAATCTCCACATTGAGACTTTCAATTCATAGTCTCATGCGACTCTTCAAAGCAGTGCTGGCAGGTTAATTGTCATTTGAGATATTAAACCATGGTCTCATCTGCTTGTTCAGCTGGACGTTAAAATTCCCATGTCACTATTCGAAAAGACAAGCGAGTTTCTCCCAGTGTCCTGACCAACAATCCCCCAGATAAAGTTGGTTATTCACTTTATGATGGTTTGTGGGACATTGCTGTCTGTAAGGCTCACAAAGGTGTAAAAAATATACACCACAGGTATTTACCAGTTCTTTTTGGATGAACAAGGCACTTCGAACAGAATATCACCCGATTGTTTTTCCCACAGCATCAAGTTTTTTTTAAAAACAAATCTAATGTCCTGGTCTCAACTACCTTTCCTGGCAGCTGTTCCAGTAGCTTCCAGTAGCCATTTCTTGGTGTCTGACCTGAAATTACACTCTGACATCATAAACCCGCAACCTAAAGTATTGTTCTGGGTTCACTTTTTTTTTAAATCCATTGAAAATGTTATCTATATTAGATCCTCTCCGACACAGCTCCTTTCAAGACCGAGTGACTTCATAGTGGTTATCTATCTGAAGGAATATCTCAATTCTACAACCAGTCTGGATTATTCAGGACCAAGGCTTGGAATTATACTTCAGCCTCACTGTAACTGTCAACAATGTGATAATTATCACCAATGATAATTAATACATTACAGGTCACACATTTCACCCTTGTTTATCAGACACTCTGGGAATAAAACATGCCCCTGTATATGGAACAACTTTGACATCCAGCCAGCGGTACCTATGCTGCTTTGAGAATTGCAAGCCAGCAGAAAAGAAAATGAACCTTACAATTTGATTTGATTAAATGTTAATTAAATAGCAGGTTGGTGATGCCAAAACTGCCACGGAGTAACAGGAGGTGAGTTTCAGCCTGTCATTCCTAACACGGCGACTTCTTTATTTCCGAACACCATCTGGGGTAGGGATAGAGGGCAAATCATGGGTCAACTCAGGCTGCTTTTGTGCAAATCCTAATGGCTGGTGACAGCTATTCTGGCAGAGACCCAGAAGCAGTTCACCTACATTCGCACAAGGGAGGCGAGAAACATACAAATCAAGGTACACATCTGAAGTCATATTGTTCCTCCATTCAGATAATCCATTACTCTAAGGGATGGTAGTTATTTTTTTGATATCCAAACAATTAGAACATTTCCTTTCATATTTAAATAAAACAATGGAGAATAACTGTGGAATTCAAACGTGGTGGTGAACAGCTCAAATTTATACAAAAAGTGTAAAGCAAAATTTTCTAGGCCAGAAGGAAATGTTTTGCATACATCCTACATCTTTTCTATCACAAGAACAACAAACAATGCATTGCATTTATATAGGGCCTTTCACATGTTGTGAGGTTCACATGATGTTGCGAAATTAAAAAACTAAAAAAAACTCAACAAAAATGGCTTTACAGCAATCTATTTCTGCTTATCTCCAGGCTGTGCATTTCTGCCTAAGGAAACAAATTAGCCAAGCCTGTTGTTAGGCCTAAATCAATGTTTTTGAAATACTCCCTGACTCATTTGATGAATATGAATTGCTCAGACATGACTCTCGCCACTTATTCCCTGTAGAATAAAAGGGAGATTTTTTAGAAACTTTGGAAATAAAGATATTGCAAGAATATACAGAAAGGTAGGTAAATGGAATTAAAACATATGTTATGATCTTAAATGTCAAAACAGGTCAATGAGCCAAATGGTCTACTCTGTTCTTTCTTAACAAAGCTGAATCATGAATGGTTATTTGTGAACATGTACGTTTTCAATTTAAATCTTCACCAATGCAGACTAATTCACAGTTAACTTACTGCCCATCCTTACACCCAACAGACTTTATTTCACTCAGTTTTCAAATGCCAGGCATTCATTCAGCACATAACTTTTGCAATGTGTGAATATATACTGCCCAGCTCAATTCATCAATGACTAAAACATCTCCTTATTGGAGTGCAGCTTGCATTTATAGAGTGCCCTTCACATAGGATAATGTCTCAGAGCCCGTACGAAAATTTCCAGAGGTAGCTGTGTCTCAAACAATTTGCACGCAGCGATTCCAAAAAGACCCCACAAGTTGAACTGAGTCATTTGGCAGGCTGTTACGGTCAATGTCGAAAGCGAGGAGAGTTCAAGCTCATCTAGGACTTGATACACATGTATAAAGTTCTGTGAATGCTCAGATCTGAAAAAAATCGACTTCAAAGAATTCCCAACTACACACATTTTGGCACAAGTATGATACAAAAAAAAGGGGAAAAAAATCCAAAAACATTTGAAATGCGTTGACCTATAATTCCCCATGTCTCATTCCTGGGCAAGAACAGCTCAATGTTACCATACATCCTTTTATATTGTATTTTTTCAGGTATACTCAATAGTAGATAATGATTGGGTCAGTTATTGTGTGATTTACAAAGGAAAGATAAACTGTCAGGAGTGTTATCTGTCTTCACAGATCTCCTAGCTCATCAAGTGGCTAGAGGTTCAGGGGAGACAAATCAGCCAGGGATCTGCTTCTGATCATTGTTCAGTACCTCCAGTGTACATGTTCAGATGAAAAGTGAGAATAGGATCAGGATTGGCGATGTTAACCCTCCCCCCACCCAACCCTTCCCCATGCACCAGTCATATGGTCTACAAATCTTACTATCCAGTTTCGGCTTGAAAGAAGCCTTCGAGCACTGTTTTATGTTGCAGTATATTTGGTTAACTTGTACCAGTGGAACATCCTTGAATATAAGGCAGCACCTTCAAGAAGGCAAAAAGAGAGAGAAAATTAGCCAATGGGTAGACTCAGATGTGAACAACAACAACTTGGATTTATACAGCGTCCTCCACGCCAGACAGCATCTCAGAGCATGTTACAGTTTCGGATCCGGGGACCGAGCCAGGGGGAGGGGGGGTAGGTGACCAAAGGCGCGGTCAAAAAGAAAGGTTTTTAGCAGAAACCTGAAAATGGGAAGGGAGGGAGTGAGACGAAGGGAGTGAGGAAGGCAGTTCCAGAGCCTCGGGGCATAGTGGCTGAAAGCACGGCCGCCGAGGGTGGAGCGGAGGACTCGGGGGACGAGGAGGAGGCCAGACCCAGAGGAACGAAGGCAACAGGTGCTGTTTTGAGGAGAGAGGTCAGAGAGGTAGAGGGGTGCAGAGGAGTGCAAGGACTTGAATACGAGGGTGAGGATCTTGAAGTCGATCCTCTCTGGGATAGGGAGCCAGTGCAGTTTGGCAAGGACTGGAGTGATCGGGGAACCTCAGTGTAACATTATATTTGTGTGAATCTGGCATGACCCAGAAGTCTGCCATTTTTACCAAACACAGGATGCAAAAATAGCTGACTTTTGGGTCATTGGATCACCACCGACATTTGCACACACACAGCAATGCAGGAAGTGACCTCAATCTAATGATCCCAAAGTCTGTGACACTGAAGAGAAAATTCAGCAAGCCAACTGCACACATGTACAATAAACAGAGTCCACAGAGCGGTAGTATTCTAAGCAAATTCAATCTACAATGAAGAGCATCCTAACAGAGCTGTACTGCAACAATCAATGTAGAGTATGGAGTCGGGATGATTTTGTCAGATCCCAATATAATGTGATCAAAACCATCATCTTATCTCATCTTTCATCAGGGGGTCAAGTACCAGGATCACTGTTCAGTACCTCCCGTGAAGCAGAATCGTCATTACAACAGCAGAGTAGAAAAACACGACAAATTGTTAAAGTGAATGCTATTCAACACAATGTTATTGGAAAAAGCCTCTCCAGGTGCACACGTGGAATATAAAAGCTCTTTGAGCTTCGCTGTTATTGCAGAATGAGCATTGTTGGTCCAGTTGCTACCTGAAGCAATTTAAAACACAAAGCTGCAGGTACCAGTATGAAAGAGCATAAGAAGCTCAATGCTGCCAATGGTAACATGTCACAATAGTGAAACAGCTCTTCTTCTGGGAAGAATTATATCTGGATAGTTTACATAAATTGAAAGTACAGGTGCTCAATACAATAAAAAGGGGCAGCTGCTGTTCATTTCTTATTAATTTGACTCATACAGGAAGGACACAGCAAGCATGGAAAACCCTTGAGAGGGTTTAAGAGGCAACATCTTGCTGTACCAAAGCAACTAACTGAAAGATTGGCTTAAGATCATAAAAATACTTGCCATTCATACAGTGATCTTTGTGACTTTTTTTCTACAAGTACAGTTACTTTCTCTGCCTCGTTTCTCTAATTCTCTTGGTGACATCTAACACGTCAGGAAGAGAGGACAGAGTGATGTGGCTCATAGATACCCTCCCTTTATGAAAATGCTTGATCGTCACATTGCACATTGTAAACAAACATATCTGGGATCAGAGGCTCAGAAGTACAGTATATGTGTGGGGGGGGTGGAAAGGATTTCCAGTTGCAATGGGGCATCTCATGACTCTGCTACAAGCTACCTTTGCCCATCCTATATGTGGGAGTTTTTTTTAATATATCTAAAAATCTAAATATATCTGTGGAACAAATGTCATCTTCTATAGAGGTTCATCACGTTGAGATGTCTGAAACACTTGACCCAATGGCACCTGTGAGGTGCTGCAGTTCTATAATATATTTTGTGAGCGAAATGCAGCAGCCAATTGTGCACAGCAGTATCCCACAGCAATGTAACGGTCATGAATTTAAGTGACCAATTTATTATTATTATTTTTTTGAAGGAATTATTTCTCCCGGAAAAGCGATCCGCCTATCGACTAACAACCTGGTTCCCACTTACTGCAAGAGGTGTGTGGAGTAAGGAAACTTGGCCAATGTTTTGGCCTGCTGGGAATTGAACCCAGGTCTCTCACCTGCGAGGTGAGTGCTCTAACAATTAAGCTACAGGACTCCGTTTCATCAAATAATTTTTTTTTAAAAAGTGTTTTTTTTAAAAAAGTAGTATTTTTAAGTGAATTTAGATATGGGATGAATTTTTACTGCAAGTCACATTTCATGTAAATACCCTCTTGGAATAATAGTTTTATCTTCCAAATGTTGACAGTTACAGAAACACTAATGTAGTCCTTAAAGGGTTAAACAGGTATGTATCAAAGAAGATTTCACAGTTTAGTTGACTAGCTGCCAGCTTGTGGATTTAATGGTTGCTGCCCACTGCTAAGAGACTGAAAGAAAATCTGCTGAGTAAGTTATTTTATCTAGGTTTTAATGGTTACATTCAGGGAGAAAACACTTTGGATAGGAACATTATGTAACAACAATGGAAATATAGGTTTTCATGAAGCTTTGCACCTGCTAAGTATTACATTAATCTTTTGGGATTATATTTAAATCTTCAGAATTATATAACATTTGTGGGGTTTCTCAATTATGATGGCATCAAAGATTAGGGAGGAAAGTAGCTGCTTTACT